TTGTGCTGCTGCAGGGGCGGGGCGCGGCGGGGCAGGGGGCGGGGCTGCCCCTGGGCTCAGGTGCGCACACCGGGGGTGAGCTCCCCTGTATGACACCGACCCCGAAGCACGAAGCGGCAGCCACACTGTGCGCCACAGGAGGGGAGGGCCGGGACCTCCAGGCCTTCCTGTCCTGCTCTGGAGCAGCTCAGTGATACTGCGCACAGTCGCCCGGGATACATTTGTTTCTGCCCTGATTTCCAGCCACCCAAGCTGGCCTCCAGTTCAGAAGTGGGGGCTCCATGGAGCATCAACCCCTCTCAGAAGGGGGGTGGTGGCCCCTCCCCAGGAGTGAAGGGGAGGGGCTCAGCGAGCACACCCCAGCCCACCCCCACCAAGAGCACATGGAGGGAATCCCAGCCAGTGGCGGACAGGGAGCCCGTGGGAATGCAGACAGGCCTTCCAGGCCATCAGGAACGCCCGGGTTAGGGTGAAAGTAGATCTCACTACTGGAAAATTAGAGGCGTTAGGAAAATACACTAAAAAGGCTAAAAACCCTTACTAAAGTTAAGAGAGAGAAAAGAGAAGGGAGGAAATATTTGCCAACTGTGGGAGAAGGTTAATGTCATATCACACAGAAGGCCCTGCACAGGTCAGTGCGGGAGAGAGCAGCACCTCTGGTGCAGAGCAGATGCTGACCGGGAGGGCTGCCTGGCCAGCTCGCCTCTGTCCCTGCACCTCCTCCCTGAGGTTTACATAGTTCTTACTCACAGGACCACAACGTCTCTGGCTAAGACACCTTTTCCTTGAATCTTTCAAAAGAGGATTTGAATGTTTTCTGGGGAGGTAACCGGAGCACAAGGTGCTAGGAGATCCTAATCCCACAGGAGCAGGACACGCCCTGGGCTCCCCTGGGGGCACCTGTCCCCATGCTTCCCCTGGAGACCCCCAGGGCCCCTCCCTGGTACTCTGCCTGGGGACCCCCTCCCCACTCTGGGCCCAGCTTGCCTGCCTTACCCGAACCAGGAAGCCATCTGGGCAGGTGAACTGGTCGTACCAGAGGGCCTTGTACATGATCAGGAGGCAGCCCATGAGCGCCATGACGAAAGCCAGCATGCGTGCTGGGGGCATCTGCAGGTGAGGGAGAGGAGAGGAACCCATGGGCGGGGGGCGGGGGGGCACGGAACCCAGCCTGGGCTCCTGGGACAGTCCTCATGATGGGGCTGCGAACCCAGCTGAGCCCCCCAACCCACCCTACTAGCCCGTGGGGGGGAGGCTTTCTTTCTCAGAAACAATAGGGGGAAGGGGCAGGTTTTACTATGGAAACATGAAAGGCTTTAGAAATAGTACAGGGAAAAGGAGAGAAATCATTATTCGTAAAATTAATAATGCTAAAAAAAAGGTGGGAGAAAATATTTGCCAGAGTCCCTAGCAGGAAGAGCGACTGTCTATAGTATGTATAAAACCAACAAGCCCGGCCGGCGTGGCTCAGTGATTGAACGTCAACCTATGAGCCAGGAGGTCACGGTTTGATTCCTGGTCGGGGCACATGCCCAGGGTGCAGACTCGATCCCCAGTGTGGGGTTTGCAGGAGGCAGCCGATCAATGATTCTCTCATTGATCCTTCTATCTCTCTCTTTCCTTCTTCCTTCCTCTCTAAATTCAATTTTAAAAAAATTTTTTAAAAAGAAAGGAAACCAACAAGTCACTCAGGAGGAGACAAATGACCTGCAGGGAAGGCGGATGCACGCATTGCCCACAGTGGCTGTCACCCACTGTGCAGCCAGAGGGAGGCTTTGGGTCCCACTGGCCACAGGTCAGCCTGGCGTTGCTCAGCCCCAAGTCCCTCAGCACCCCCATCCTTAAGCACCCAGCCTTCGTCCCCCCAACCCCCACCGTGCCTCTGAGTGGGCGCTTCCTTGTCCAACTTCCCTGACAGCAGCAGCCTGAGAAAGGGGGCCCAGCCCACCTGGCCCAGCCCTGGGTGCTCAGGGCCTGTGGCTGCCTCAGCACCTTGATCCTAATTT